CAATTGAAAATAACGAGGCTTGTTTAAGCTTATGGAACACGCAGTTCTATTTTCGTTTGTTTGACATCTAAAGTTATCCTATTTTTGGTTGTTCAACATCCGAAAATGTCATATTTTTGTTTGTTCAACATCCGAAAATGTCATATTTTCGCTTGTTGAACAACCGAAAATAAGAATGCAAATTCCAAGCTTATGTCTTATTTTCGGTTGCTCAACAACAAAAAATTAGGTCATTTTCCGTTATTGAACAACTGAAAATACGATATTTTCGGATGTTGAATAATCGAAAGTAGGACTGTATATTCCAACAAGCTTATGGAATATGCAGTCCTATTTTTGGTTGTTCAACAACCGAAAATATTTTTGGTTGTTCAACAAAAAAAAAAAAATGCAAATTTCAAGTTTCTGCCTATTTTCAGTTTTTCAAAAACAGAGAAAAGGTAAAAAATATTCTTTTAAATTTTTTTGTTATAAAGTAAAAAAACGAACATTCCAGTAATAACAGAAACTATTTGATATTTTGATAATAACGAAAACTATAATGGATATATACAAAATTTTCAGATATCGATAATAAAATAGTGTCAAAATATGGTTTTAACATTAAAAGTCTTTGGGATAATCTTAAAATATATTTTTATTATTAATTATAAAATTTAAAATTTTAAAAATAATTTAGATCGGACACGTTCATTAAAACTTGAAAATTGACAATCCAAAACATAAAATGCACTATTTTGAAAGCTTGAAATCTTTTTTTTTTAATTATATCGAACCTTTTTCACCCAGATAGAAGTCCTCCTTCTCTCAACCCCAGGCTCTTTTTCGCTCTCTCGAACCCCAGGCTCTCTCTCAAACCCCAGGCTCTCTCTCCTGGTTATTCTCTTTCTCTCTCTGTTCTGGTTCGTAGAGTGTGTAGTGTGGTAGTCGTAAAGCAGGGTAAAGGTAGAGAGAGAACCGGACCCAAGTCACGAGACCCACATTCTCCAAGAAGCCCAACTTCACTCACTTTCTCCCTCTTTCTTCAAAACCTCAACGAAAAATGACGACCCTCACAATCAGTCCCTGCGATTGAATTACCACACCATGGGGTCTGTATCGCTCTTCAAACCAACCATCACCATCTCCAGCAAACCTCTCTCTCGCCCCACTCTCTCTCTCATAAAAAGCCCCACCTTCTCTCTCCTGAAAAACCCCACTTTCTCTCTCATAAAAACCCCGATCTTATCTCTCCTGAAAAACTCCAATTCCCCTGTCATCAAAACCCCTCATCCTCACTCTCTCTCACTCCTCAGATCAAGCTGCAAAAAACCCATCTGCCAAAGCCCATTCGCATCTTTGCAGGCATCAGACGGCTCCTCATCTCACCTTCCAGAAGGCAATAACGCACCAGGACAAGACCATTACACACCCCTTCTTAGCAACTGGTCGCCACCTCGCTATCTATGGAGAGGCATATCAGTCTTTATACTTGCAGGCCAAGTGATTTTCAGGAGCTTGACAGGCAAAATCCATTATCAAAACTCGCTTCAGCAACTGGAACGGGTAGGCCCAAGGTCAGTTGGGGTGTGCTTGTTGACTGCTACTTTTGTTGGTATGGCTTTCACGATACAATTCGTAAGAGAATTTACAAGATTAGGATTGAATAGATCAGTTGGTGGTGTTCTCGCCTTAGCTTTCTCTAGAGAACTCAGCCCTGTGGTGACCTCTATTGTAATTGCAGGCCGAATCGGCAGTGCTTTTGCAGCTGAATTGGGCACAATGCAGGTTTCAGAGCAAACTGATACCTTGAGAGTTTTGGGTACAAACCCAGTTGATTATTTGGTAACTCCAAGAGTTATTGCTTGTTGTATAGCTTTACCCATATTGACCTTGCTTTGTTTCGTTGTGGGCATGGCTGCCAGTGCTCTTTTAGCTGATGCCGTTTATGGGGTTAGCATTAATATTATATTGGATAGTGCAAAAAGAGCCCTAAGGCCTTGGGATATTGTGAGTGCCATGGTAAAATCAACTGTTTTTGGTGGTATAATTTCGATTGTGAGCTGTGCTTGGGGTGTTACAACTCTTGGGGGTGCTAAGGGGGTGGGCGAGTCGACTACTTCAGCAGTTGTTATCTCTCTGGTTAGTATATTCATTGCTGATTTTGTGCTCTCTTATTGCTTCTTTCAAGGGGCTGGTGACTCGCTTAAGTCTGCAATGGGGTGACTTGGATCATGGTGGGCTGATTTTGTGATGTGGTTTTAAGGGTGGTTCGCCATTCACAGTATTTGGTAATCATGGTTACTGGTCAGGACATTGTAATGATTATTATTGCATGAAGTTTCATGTTCTAAATGTCCAGAGTTTGCTATTACTTTCAGAAATGGGGTTTCTCTTGTATGTATTATTCAATGCCAGATGAATGGAAAGGTCAGAGTTGCTGGTGATTTTGTTTATTTGATTTATGTCCTCCTCCTTTTGATTCAGGTTTTTGTTGCAACTCTAATTTTGTGACCACTAAAATGAATGGTATTTTTATTTCTTGAAACAAGGTGGGAGGTTTTTGTTTGTTTTCATATATGATGCAAAAATATGTGCCCCGTTGAATTTTGAACAGCATCATAGATTTTTTATGGACTATAATTTAAGAGTGAAGAATGATAATAATGGCTATCCTTCTAGGAAAAAAAAAATCATTTTCAAAATTATTATACTCTGATAACGAAGGATCTACAAAAGTGCAAATTTGGAACCCTTTGCAAACCACTCTCATGCAACAAATCTTCAATTAGAACTCTAGAGCCCATGTTTGATTCCTTGCTTGAAGTCTTACTCAGCATTCGAAAGGGTGGATATACCCCAATCCCTCCCTGCTGCTAACACAGCCTAAACTCTCTCCCTGCTAACACAGCCTATGCTCTCTCTCTCTCTCTCTCTCTCTATTGACCCAGTTCCTTTACTCTTCTGTCTCGATCTATATGGACCCCTTACTCTACTACCTCTCCACTCTCTCTCTCTAACCAAGGATCCCTGTATCTCTCTCTCTCTCTGTCTTCCTTGGTGCTCTCTATACTGTCTCTCTCTCACAGTCTCTACCAATGGATTCCTGTCTCTTTCCCTCTCTCCCTTTTTCCTTGTTCTCCCACTCTCTCTCTACCCATGGATGCCATTTACTAGCCTCTCTCTCAATATACAAAGTCTCTCTCCTAAAAGCCCTGCTGTCCTCTCCAAAACCACTAAAATCTCCTAAATCTTTAAAAAAAGATCTCTAATCCTTAGAAGAAACCTTGTGTCTCTGAGCCCTTGTCTTCAAGATTGAAGAACAGTAGATTGAATAAAATCCAGTTTGATCAAACCAGAAAAGCATTTGATGAAGCCAAATCTCAAGCATCAGGTGCGATTATGATCCTGAAATTTCCTTTGTTTTAATGGGGTTTTTTTTCATTTTGCAGTTATATTTGTGCTGATTTTTGGTAAGTTGACTTATTGATTAGATCTTACAATCTAAAAATTGGGCTGTCGCTATTCAATCTCAAGCACATTATTTTTTTCATGTGGGCAGAGGGTGCAATTAGCTTTTTTTTTAATTGAGGTTAGTCTATGGGTTGCGGAGTTTACATCCCCAAAATTTGGGGTTCTAAAATTAATTCTAAGTGGGGTTTCACCTAAGGTAATAAATGGACATTCTACTCCCGCAGGAGTAGAATATCTTTTAGCCCAAAGAAATTATGTTGTGACTCATTTGAAGCTTGCATCTTATTTGATGAATTGGGTGCTTTTTCGTGAAAATGAATCTTTCCTCCGGGAGGAAATTAAGCTTCAATATATTAGCTGATATAATGCATTTTTCTAATGCTGATTTGAAGATAAGTTGATAGATTATTGTTAAGTACTGATTAGAAGAAAATATTGGAGAAATCAGCGCCTAGGAAAAGTTCCACAAATCAACCATTGACTATAGTTCTGGCACATCAATAGTGGATTAGGAAAAAAAGAGTTTTGGCACTTCAAGTAGCCAAATCTTCTATGAACAACCCATTAATATCCCATGATTTTGACTGTTCAACTCGCTTGTATTTTTCAATCTTTGGTTTTTCTTAATTATTTCTTTTCATTTTCGAGAAGTCTAGACTTGCTACACATTGTTATTAACTCATTGCTGTTATTGTTTACTCTCTTTTCCATCATGAAGTGGAATTACATAGTTTCAGTTTGGCGACCAGAAAAAAGTTTGCAAAATGAACTAATTCATATCATTTTCACTTATCCAGCATTACTTTTGTAAATTTTTTACAATTTCTAATGGAAAAAATCTATGGTAAACATTTAGAAAGTTACAATAGGATTTGAATTGCTAAGAAATTTTGTTAATTCTTATTGTAATTCAGTTTGCCGACATGAAAAACATTTGCAAAATGAACTAATTCATATTATTTTCACTTGCACAGCATAACTTTTGTAAATTTTTTACAATTTCTAATGGAAAAAAGCCATGGTAAACATTTAGGAAGTTACAGTAGGATTTGAATTGCTAAGAAATTTTGTTGATTCTTAATTCCTCTAGGTAACTTGTTTGGAAAAATCAAAATATCCTATGTTTTGAAAATACAAAAAGAATTTAAATCTCCAGTTATTTACTCTTCTCATCGGGCATTAAATAGGGAGAATAATATCTGGTTATGAATTTTCAGTAATCCTGCATGTTAGTTGGAGAACTTATGGGCAAAATGTTGCTTACTTGGTTGCTATTGGCCACGATAGCTCAATATTTCGGTCATCTGGAGATGTTTGAATCCATTTGGTTATTATACAAAAAACATATTAAATGCAGTGAGATGGGAATTGTTTTTGTTTAACAATTAATAAGAAAGCAAATTGTATATGTGATTGATTGGCATTTGTTGATATTATTTTGGATCAACAAGCATTTCACCTATTGATGTAATCATGTTACCTATGACCTTCCAGAAAAAAAATAGAATAACAATATACTGTTTTCTTGACTAAGATGAGTGAGCTGCCATTTCTAAATTGATATGGGGGTCCCTCCTTTTTTTTTTGGATGCTTAGATTCTATTACAGAATGAGGCAGCATTTATGGCTAAGGTCTACCCTCGATAATCTTTGCCTTAGGAGAGGCTGCTGTGGATGTAGAGGCAAAGGTAATGTCGGTGATAGATCTATGTTCTTACCATAGCAGGGGCATTACTCAATGTTTTGCAACTTCTAAGAGTGGTTTCCCTTCACATGTTATCTGATTAAAACCAGTGAAGGTACATAGCTAAAGCCTTTTTTTTAGTTTAGATTCTTAAAAGTTTCTCAATCTTACAAGTGTCTCTTCCTATTGCTAACCCAACTCAAAAATGGTAAAAACATATCATATGAGTTATGTGTGATGCATAAGGAAGAATGACCTTACAGGTTGAATAACTATGTGAGCATTTCCTCAAAAAACAAAAACTTTTCACTCGAGTTTTTTCAATTGTTAACCCAACTCAAAAAAAAAACATTTCCTCCTATTGCTAGCCCAACTCAATCTTTAACTGTGACCATTAAAGATTGTCCACTTATTATACATCCACCTAGAGGATCACTCGAGTGTTTGCAATTGTAGATCTGGTTAAAAGTGCTTTGTGTGGTACAGATATCACATGTGACTGAAAAGTTATTTAACTTTTCCCTAGGTTGTGGAGATAAATTGATAGTTAAATGCATGTCTAATTATTCCTTTCTGTCGAATTTGTTCTCAAATCCAATTCGATTAGAAGAATGAAAAATCTCATTAAGCATGGCTGCAGATGAACTGTATAACACTCCCATTCAGTACATGGTTTGGCTTCTCTGTAGTATATTCCTAATTTTCTTACACTGCTGGAATCTTGGCTATTCTTATTGCATATGGTTCTTCTTTCAGGGGTCCACAATGAAATATGCTTTTCAGAGGAAGTTTTGTTCGAATGTTGAAGTTGAACAAGAATTGTTGGTGGATTTAGGCCTTAATTTTGGGTGTTTGGGTTGAGATTTCAAAATTCTGCTATCGATACTTTTTGTTTGTTTGATATGTAGCAATCTTGTCTTGCAAGCGATAAGGAATCACAAATGAGCACACTCATTTTTCTTTCAGTATTGTAAATTCTTTTTTAAATGATTTAAGAGCTTGATTTTCTACTACTCGTTTTTGGTGACTTCCTTGTTATACATACATACACACACATATCTATTATATCTCTGCTGTGTGAGTGACGACCAAACTTCGTTTGTAAGCTTCTGTATATATTTCTCCTTTTTGGGAAATAATAATCCTTTTTCTTGCAATAAAATTTCTATCCTACCTTGGAGCTGCTTGCCTCCTGTTGCATTTCTTATTGTGATGCCCAATATTTTCTCCATGTCGTTGTTGTATCTTTTACAGCAGACAATAGTCATTAATCCTCTTTAATAGATTAACATAGCTTTGGGGATTATATGACATATTTTCCCTCCAATCTTTTGACATACCATGCTCTGGTTTTCTACATACAATATAAAAACTTTATTTTCTTACCTAAGCAATCTTTAGGTCAAATATGCCACTGAAAATTTAAGCATCAAGAGAACATTCCTTGTCTCAGTTTTTCTTTAATTCTCTTGTGAAGCTACTTTTAGCTTCATCATTCGAAAAAAAGAAAGAAAGAAAGAAAGAAAGAAACAAAGTAGTTTTCTTTGAGCTTATCACTGGTCTCCTCTTGGGAAGCAGGGCCATATTATGAAAGTGAATGATAAACAATAGTCATCTTCCCATTTCCTCCGTATTTGTTTGTTTATTTATTATTCCACGGTTACATATGTAAAAGTTCGATGCTTGTTTCTCATTTATTCTAGCGTTTTGACAGTGTTCGCAAAACCGGGCGATCTAACTGCTAACCGACTGGTTAGATTGGAACCGGCCACTAGCCGGTTCCGGTTTTGGGCAGTTTTGATGATCAACCAGTATTTAAAAAAAAAATTCAAAAAAATGTATGTAAATTCTCAAAAATGAGGAATTTGATTTGTAATGCATTTTTGAATGTTCTTTACATTATGGTAAAGATTAAAACTTGTTTTGGTCATTAATACTCACTTTTATATTTTCCCCATCTTTTTCAGAAAATTTTAAAAATACCCTTAGGCACAAATAGCTTCATTAAAATCCATATTTTCCATTAATTTTCAACTTTATTTGAATGTGCTTTGTTTTAATCAGTCTTTATATGTTTTATATATTTTAGTAGATTTTTTTTGGGAAATTATTAGAAATATACCTTAATATTTGACAAATTAGAAAAAACCTATTAACTTTCATAAACCTTGTCCATACCCTTTTTCTTCAATTTTGGCATTTAAAATTCTTCGAGTTATTACGGCATTTAAAATGCAGTATAAAATGGGGTAGTCATTAGGGTATTTAAAGTACCGTAATACTATGACTTCACAATAATACGACTACTGTGAAGGCTATTTTGGTAAAAAAATGCCGAAAACAAAAAGGTGTGGATGAGGTTTATGAAAGTTGATGGTTTTTTTTTTCCAATTAGGCAAAAATAAAGGTATATTTCTGATAATTTCCCATTTTTTTGCATCTTTTTTATTTTTTCAACACTTTTATGACCGCCTGGGACTTGCCCGGTTAGAGCAGTTGAATCAGCCAGTTTACCGGTTAGGCCGGTTAAACCGCTTCCGGGCACATGTCCGGTTAACCGTTCCGGTTCGATTTTGCGAACACTGGTTTTTGAAGGATTGTGCTTGCATTTCTCTTACATGCCTGCCAACCAATATATCCTATAGTTATGCATGTAGACCATGTCTACCATTCAAACTCCCCATATGGCCTTGGCCTTTGGGGACTTGGTTATGGAAATGTGAGGTGCTTCCATCCATCCCTAAATGTACCATGTCCTTTCTATCTCCTTCTGATTTCTCATACTAATACTTGTATGTGCCTTTTTATTGAGATTATCTTTCGTTTGTAAAAAGATAAAGCCAAAACTTTTTGCCGCAAACTGTTGAATCCTCATGTGAAACTATTGAATGCTAACAAAAATTTGTATTGTATGAATGTATGAAGATAATAAGAAGTGTACAATCTATCACACAAAGTATTTCAGTTTCCATGGACTGTCTATGATTTATTCATGGTATTAAGAGCCTCCAAGCAACTGCATCTTGTCCTGCCTTTTCTGAAGAATGAATGACTCATACTGGGTAACTGTGGGGGCACGTCCGAAAACTTAAGGCTTAATTTACACCATTTGAAGGGTTTTTTTTGCATCATTTTAGCCATGCTACTCAGGTGGGGGTGGAGCCTCTCCAGCTGCCTTCTACTGCTGAGGCTTCTCATGGAAACACGGCTTGAAATCAACAAGGATGGCTAGCTTCTCCTCTGCTGTGACAATAATCTCAATCCTAAGCCCTATCTCTACGAGAAGAGACGCCATTGTCACAAGAGGGAGCACCTCTATGAGAGGCGAGACATTTAGTTACCAGTATCCCTTCTTGATGTTGCTGCCTCTTCTCGAGTTGTTGGGGTAAAATTTTCAAGGCTTCGTGGATGTTGTTTACTGAATCAGATAGCTGGGGGGCCAGGAAATCAATTTTGGAGGACCTCATTATCATGTTGGTGATGGAGAGCTCGATCAACACCTTGGATGACCACAAGCTCATGTTCAGACAAGTGGTCTTGAGTTGTTTGATCGTATACGGTGCCTGACAATTTTTTTTTTTTGCATGAATAATGTATGTTTTATTGCTGCAGGGTCTTGATTCTTGTTCTTGGTATTCTATTGGCTGAAAGTAATTGTCATCTAGAAGTATAGATGAATATCAGGAGGGTATCTTGAGCCATTTTTTTGACATGTATTAGGTAGAAGAAAAAATTCTCTCTCTCTCTCTCACACACACACACACAAACAAATGAATGAATCATGCTAGGGAGCTAGTCAGATGGTTTTGAAGTCAAACCTGGACTCTGAGTTGCTGCAGGCACTGACTGCCCCAATGCAAGAAGCACAATAGTGTAACGTTGCCATGTACTGGTTCCCATCTTGCAAAGTTTTCCTCTGGGTATTGTATCTTCCATAACTACATTGAGCTTATTTAGTGAATTGTAAAAATAATTTTGGTGTTCTCAGCTGATTTTTAAGCTGTGTATGGTAGAGTTGGAGATCAATATTGGGCTTCTCTTCGATGAATTCTTTGCTGGTCTCTTTTTCTTTTCATGATCTTAGTTCTCCTCGTTTATCTATTTGGATTTATCTTTTTACAGGTTGTTGGTCATGATCATGCTATTTCTGGATGATCTGATGCGTGATATGGGTTTTGAATCATGTTGAGCCATTTTTTAGTTGAGAATGCATGTTCTCTATCATGGACAACCCATTATTTCTCATTCATGTCCAGTGCTTATTTATTATGTTGTTAGTGTTTCTACAGATATAAGTTCTCTTTTTTCCTGGATTTTGTTTATGATGGATTTCAGAATTGATTATTTCTCGTCTTTTTGATCCACTTGATCAATAAAAATGTCATCTTTTGTGGAAGCCAACTCCCACTGTGGAAAAAAAGCAGTAATTTGTATTTTTATTCTTGCAATCTATTTATGGTCTATTAGATGTTTGTTACCATTTAATGCAGTCTCTCACTTCACAAAAATAATGCCTAAAACTTGAGCTAAAATCAGAAGCCAAAAATGAAATATACAGTCAAGGGTTTGCATTTGATCGGTAACTTGTTAATTGTCTCTATGTTTTGCAGTTTCCTTCGCTATTCTCACTGGGTCTTCTCATTTGTCCTGAATGCAGTCTGAGACTATTCAGAATTTGAACTCCCAAGTATGCAGTGTTGGCAAAATCAACACTGCAAGTATGCAGTATAAGATTATTCAGAATTTGAACTCCCAAGTATGCAGTGTGAACTGGACATGGGCCTGGAAGCAGTTTAACTGGCCTAACCGGTAAACCGGCCGATTCAATTGCTCTAACTGGGCAAGTCCCGGACAGTCAAAAAAGTGTTGAAAAAAAATAAAAAACCACAAAAAATAAAATATGAAAAACATATAAGAATGATTAAAACAAAACACATTCAAATGAAGTTGAGAATTAATGAAAAAAAACCCACTTTATATTTCCTAAAGGTTATTTTTAAAATTTTCTAAAAAGATGGGAAATATAAAAGTGAGTTTTAATGACCAAAACAATTTTTAACCTTTATCATAATGTAAATAATATTTAAAAATGCATTAAAAATCAAAAACCTTATTTTTAAGAATTTATATATATTTTTTTGATTTTTTTTTTTTTAAATACCAGTTGATCACCCTAACTGCCCAAAACCGGAACTGGCCAGTTCCGATCTAACCCAATTTTGCGAACAATGCAAGCATTTCAAATATATGGAGACATTGCTTGGCTAACATCTTCAGGGGAGCCATTTGTGGCCTGCAATGAGTGTGCCTTCCCAGCTTGCTGGCTTGGATCTTTTTATCTTTTTGGTGTGTTGGGTGATCTGCACAGTTGACACTCATAGGAGATCTCCACGAATAAGGAAAGGTGAAGGCCATGAAAACCCCTGAAATTAAGCGTGAAAGTAAGCTTGCAAGGAAATCAAGTTCCAAGAAGGGACCAAAGGAGAAGAAAGAGGACAATGAAGATACTGAGGCTCATCAGGAGGAAGCTGACAGAAAAAACCAGACAGTTGCTGCTCGATCATGGGATATTGTTTTGCATCTCTAGTGCTAGTTCTCTTGTTGTTACCAGGTGGAACTTAGTCTGCAGGTGTACCTCTTCTTTTCTTTTTGTTCTTTCTTTTTTATTTCCATTTTTGTAAATTTCTTTAAATGTTGGGACAACATTCAAGGGGACATCAATCTTTTATTATATTTGATGTGGATGGGTGTTTATATCATGCTTTCATCGAGGATTCACAAGGCTTGAATTTCCTAGATTGAAAGTCAGACTTGGTATACTCTACATTTATGTTTGATAAGTTGCATTGCCAAGGATTCTGTGTTATTTTCAGCTCCATTGCTTTTTTGGATATGCATTTTTGGTAGCTATAAAAGTACAAAAACAAGTTGAACACAAAATCCAAAAGAATTTTTTTTAAAAGCTGTGATATATTTTAATACATTAAATTTTATATCCAATGATAATAAAAATTGTGACCTTGTACAAAAAATAAACGATCTCGTAGTATCCAATCTCTAAAAAGTTTGATCATAAGAAGTGGTGCTTGTGTGATGCCCTGTGCTTAGCTCTCAATATGACAGAGAGATCATTTAATAAAAAAATCACCAAATATAGATATCAAAACCTAATCAGTCTAGAGATAGATTAGAAAGAGTAAGAGATATTAAGGTTGATAATTCACAAAATAAAGATATTAAATATTTAATGAATTTCTTGTGGCTCAACGGGAGGGAGCGAAAGAATTAACATATTAAAATATATTTGAATCTAATGGTTTTGAGCGCCCATTTTAATAGTCTTATTGTAATAATTTTCAAGATATTGTGTTCAGTGGACAATATCACCAAATGCGCGCAGTGAAAATAAAAGTAAAAAAAAAAAAGGAACCCAAAAATGTGATGTGTGTGCGGAAAGTCGGGGCAATAACGAACTTCCGCTGCGAATGTTCCCGACGTGGAAAGGACTCCGGCTCTCTGTCTCTCTACCCCTCTGCGTTTCTCTTTGTGCGCTAACTTTCTCCCTCTCTCACTTCAAAACCAAAAACTAGAGAGAGAAAGAGAGGCCTTGAGCATGACACCTCTGTTTCTTCTTGTGATTGCTGCTCTCCTTCGCTCTTCCATCGCTCAGGATTTCGATGTTCGCCAGCATCTCTCAACTGTTACGAGGTATTCCTTACTTCCCGTATCTCTCTTCTTTGTGCTGCTTCTGTCTTTTTCTCTTTTTGTCATCTCTCCTTTTAAAGCTCCGGGATTCATCGGAAGAAATCCATGGTTTCTCTCTCCTCTTTAAGTCAGGCAGTTCATCTTGTTGCTGGCATTGTCTTGCTATTATAGTGGAAATAACTTTGTCTCCTTTAGTATGGCGTGATGATTATGAGATAACTGTGAAATATCCAAATCTAGTTAGATGTTGAGATCTTGGAAACTAGTGAAACTTTTACAGTTAATTAGATCGAACTCCACAGCTGTAAATTAGAAAGGAGAGGGAATCAAACCATGGTCACGAAATGCACGAAATTTCGATAATTACTTCACAGAGCAAAAACTAGAGTTTTATATTGTAAAATATTGTGAATATTTGGTAAAACATTCATCAGAGGACTAGAAAGTTAGTAGAGATCCCTACTAGAATTCAAGGAGAACTGGAAGATTTTTTCCTCAGATGGAAAAGCCTATATTTTATTGACACTTTTATTCAATTTAACAGAAAGTTGTTAAAAATCACCACATACAGTTTCTTCTTTTTTAAATTCAAAAATATCGTTTGTACTTCAAGCCCGAAGATCAGATACTTATTTAAAAGCTTGCCATGTCTTGTGACCATGAGAGTCTATTGGTCATTGGATTCAGCGTGGACCTTTCCCTTTAAGTTGCAAGCCCTAGTTTTTGGCTCTGGCTTGCCTAGCCCATTTTGTGTTGTGCTTTTGATTCAATTTATTCAAAAATTTGAATTTTAAATATGTTTCAAATTGATGAAGTGCATAGGTCTCTACCTGTTTTCTAGCTCAGGTAGTTTTTGTTCACACTTGGAAAAATGGCCAAAAATATTATGATATGATCAAAATAAATGGAAATTTTATATTTTGTTCTGTGAATCACATTTTCAAGGTAATAACTGTGGAGGTATGTGAATGGGGCAATGAAGCTTCTGCTGAGATGAGAATTGGCCAAAGGTGAAGCTGAATGGTATCTGGAATAAGGAACATCCAGAGTTTGATAATATGCTTGATTTCACTGGAAATGGTCATATCTTTGAACCCATTCTTCTTGAAACTGCATTTTTTTGAGTGAATGATAATTTGTTCAGGAAGCACCATTTAAAAGCCTATAGTGGAAAGTGCAAACACAAAGTTGTCACTTGATGAACAAAAAGTATGTCAGTAGATACTTATAAGCACTTCTTCTGAGTAGCAAAACTTCTATCATTTGCAGAATGGTATCTCAAAAGCAACCACGCTCTATAAGAAGGATACAATGTTTCATCCAATTTCTAATATTCGACAACACAAACAATGGAACATTCTTGTATCTGATTTTTATGGTTCAAGTACATGAATTCAGTGAAAACACGTGCCAAAAGAGGGTCACAATGCACATAATTACACTTAAGGAGCTGGAAATTTGTTATGGGGCAAATTAAGTCATCGTCATTCTTAAGCTAGGACAAGGGAATTGTTAGGGAGCAAGGGGAGCAGGGGGTGAAATTGGAAAATTTGTACAGTAGGTCATAGTCACGCATAAGCTACAATAGAAAACTGTTACGGGGCAAGGAGCGGAAAACTTGTACCAAGGCACATTGGCGTTTCTTAGGTGATTGTTTGTTATTACTTGGACCTGAATTATGATATGGAACTAGGCATTGATAATCTGCCTCTACAACATGTTAGTTATTGAGGTATGTTTACATTGCATCTCCTTATACTCATCTTTCATAGCATAAATAATTTTAGTACCCTGATCAAATGGACTAAGTCCACTAACAAAGCATGTCTAATAAAGTTCGGGTCTCTGTTACAGTCTTCTTTGGTCTTTATATATATATTTTCTTTTGAAACTGTTAACCTTGTATTAAATGTGATCGTATACAGTACACAAAAACTGCCAAACCAGGGGCACAAAAACAGCCACTGAGGAGAGTGGCAAAACAAGAAACTATACAAGCAAAATTACAAAATTTGAAAAAATTCAGTCGCTGAAACCGAGAGATAGAACCTGCATGCAAAACACAGCTTAGGACATATCCATAGAAGCGCCTTGCTTAGCTAGTGCGTCGGCCACTTGGTTGGCCTCCCTCCTGGTATGGCGTCCAAGAGACCTGCATATGCCTGCAAATGGCATAAATCTTATCAAAGATAGCCATGAGTCTCCAAGTGGAGTAGTCTCTCGTGAGGCCCAGATGATGACATTTCTTGAGTCACCCTCGACAACCAGAGCTGTGGCTCCAAGAGGGGTTGAAAAGTTTGAGGCCTTTGAAGAGGGCATGGGCTTTTGCCTTGGTGGAATCCGCAATGCCAATAGGAGAGCCAAAAGAGAGGAGGGAAATTCCTTCATGATTCTTGTATATGCCTCCAATACCTGCCGGACATGGGTTGCCCAAAGAGCACCTGTCAAAGTTGAGTTTGATGTGCCCAAGTTCCTGGAGCCTCCAAAGGGAGGAGTGGGACTCACGCCTGGGCCTATGGTGGACGATGATAGTCCCATTGAGGTAAAAATCCGAGGTGGAGTGGAGCTTGAAACTGTTCTGATTGGTGGACCAAAAAATCACCATGGATTTGATGCACTCCTTAACTTTATGATGGTGAGAATGCTGCCCCAAAAAAATTCTCTTGTTGCGTTCCTTCTAGATGGACCCGGGGGTAGCCGCGACTGCTGTCTTTCAAAGCATAGCTCCGGATTTGGGCCACGGTGGGAAGACCATTGCTGGAACAGTTGTGGAATGAATTCCTGTGTTACCCACAACTAACCGAAAAGTTCAAGTAGGTCCTCCCAGATTGCAAAGTTGCCATGATTGAACAAGTGAGTTTGATTCCTCCTCTGAAAGGCACATTACACATCTGTTGTGGATTTGAAGGCCTCTTCTTTGGAGTTGGTCTACATTTAGGACTCTCTCCCACTAGGCAATCAAATTGAAGACCTATATCTTGGGGGGGTAAAAGGAATCCAGGCTTTGGTGGTGGAAAGATGCGAGGGTTGTACGATAGGAGGAGAGGTGAGTTGGTGAAAGAAAGAAGAGACAAAGAAAATCCTTGGGGGTCGGGGTCCAAATGATTTTGTCCTCCATGTTGGTTGAGAAGGAAAAGTAGTGGTGAAGAGAAGAGTTCCAGAATGGCGGGGAGCTTTCGTCCCGAAGAGGTCTGCAAGAATCAGAAATCTAGGATCTAGAGCTTCTAACAAGCCCGAGCCCAAATAGCTCAGCTATTGAGGCATCGGGGTTCCTAACTAGGTGGAAAAGATTGGGGAAGCGAAGTGAGTGGGGCAGGTGGCCTAACCAGAGGTCGGACCAGAACCTAACTCTCGTCGCCTCCCTAGTGTGAAAGCGGATAAAGGATTAGAAGAGGTGAAGACTACGAAGCAAGGATTTCCAAACCCTTGAGGCTGAGTGAAAGTGCTTGTTTGGGAAGAACAAGGGAGAGGAAAAGATGCGATATTTGTGGCATAAGATCTGGTGCCACAGCTGGCCCCTCTGATTCGTGAGTCTCCACCACCACTTGCCTAATAGAGCCAGATTATTCTTTTGTAGGTTCTAGATCCCCAAGCCCCCGGAAGCCTTAGCTGACAAACGTAATTCCAAGCTATGAGGCGGTATTTTTTGGATGCCCCATCTCCAGACCAGAGGAAGTTGCGCATCAGCTATTCAAGGGGTGAGCCACCAAGGTGGGCGTGTGGAAGAGGGACATCTGGAAGATGGGAACATTTGAGAGAGTGGCTTTGATGAGGGTAGCTTTGCTTGCTGGGGAGAGATATCTGCCTTTCCAGGTGGCCAATTTGCGTTCAAATTTATCTATAATACGACTCCATTGGGCTTTCTTAGGTTTCCCATGGCAAAAGAGGAAGGCCTAGATAGGCGGAGGGGAGGGACTCAATGCTATAGTCCCATCTATCAGGAAATGTTTGGGTTTTGTGGGGGTCCAAGGCGATCCCAATCATCTTGGACTTCGCCAAATTCACCTTGAAGCCCGTGGCGAAGTGAAAACAATGAACAAACAGGAGCAAGGTGTTGAATTGATTGGTGGAGGCATAACAAAAGAGTAGCATGTCAACGACGTCTTGGAGGTGGGAGATGGTTGGACTGTCAGCACAAAACTTAAAATCTTCCACTAAGCCGACTTGGTAAAGCCTAGAGATGGATTTGCTAAAGACTTCAATTGCTATGTCGAAGAGAAAGGGAGAGAGGGGGTCGCCTTGCTTGAGACCCCTAGTTGATGAAAGGAAACCCCAAGGGGCGGCGAGAATAGAAAAATGGGGGTGGCGAATACACCCCCGTATCCACTTTCTTCAACGATCACCAAAGCCCATTATCCTTTTAGCTTCGTCTAAGACGTTCTAATCAACGTGATCACATGCCTTTCCTAGTCCAGTTTAATGACTAAGCTTGGGGCGTTGGAGGTGGTTCTGGAGTGGATGCATTCATGCTCCACTAAAGCTCCGTCCAAGATTTGGTGATCTTGGACAAAGGCACTTTGGTTGGGGGAGATGACAGTGCTTAGTATGGCTTTGAGCCTGGTCGCGAGGACTTTGGCCTGGATTTTGTAAGAGCTATTAATCAGACTAGTGGGTTTGAAATCTTTGAGTTCCTCCGCACCTTCCACCTTGGGAATGAGGGCAATGAAGGTGGCATTCATGCCGTCGTGTATGATCCCTCTTCCATGGAATTCGATAAAGAAGGAAAGAATGTCAGGGTTGTGCCCATAAGCATTTAAGATGGCCACTGGGAAGTCATTGGGACATAGGGCACGGCCTTGGCCCAAATCGTTAATAGTCGAGAGGATTTTTGATTCGGCTAAGGGTTTCTCAAGCTAGAGGCTTACTCAAGGGTAAGGGTAAGAAAGGAAAGGTCGGATATCTTGGCGGTTGGACGAGCTGGGGCTCGGAAGAGGTTATGAAAATATTCAATAATGGTCCTTTCGATGTGGGGTGGGGGGGGGGGGGGAGGGGATGACCAATGGTAACCCCCTGGGATTGATTTGGGATATGGAGTTGTCCCTTCTTGTACAATTGGCAATCCTATGAAAGAAGGTTGTGTTTAAGTCACCACTTGTGAGTCATTTGACCCGGAAGCGTTGCGTCCAATAAATCTCTTCCTTCTTAAGTATACAGTGGTAGTCACTTGTGTATTGGAGGCAAAGGAGAGATTCGTTAGTCGAGAGAAGGTAGGTCTCTTCAATGACATCTAATTCATGGATAGAGGTGATAAGGGAGTGTTTTTGTGGCTGGAAGTTATGGAGTAGAAGCCTACTCCAAGACTTAGAGAGTTTTTGAGGAGGTAGAGTTTCTTTTGGAGTCGGTATCCTGTCCAACCTTGTTCCATATGGGATTAGGATGATCACTAGACGGTCAAGAGGGATGAAATGGTAGATTCTTCTAGTCCAGCCATTTTGAACTAGAAGGGTCTAGGCCCCTCGGAGGTAGGTGTAGTGTCAAGCAAAAGGGGTTTATGGTCTGAGGTAGTTTTAAGATGGCTAAGGGAGTGTGTGCCTGGGAATGAGGAGTCCCATTCTGGACTACAAAGAAATTTGTCAAGCTTGGAAAGAGAAGGGGAGGAAGAGTGGTTTGACCTAGTGAATAGCGCCTCTTGGAGGGGGATATCAAGGAGCTCGTGCCGGGCTATGAGGTCGGCAAAATCGAGCATGGCTGGAGTAATCCTGGAAGTGGTGCTTCTCTCGTAAGACTATCTGGTTACATTGAAGCCCCCCTAAGACACCATCGTGCTGATACTTGGGTAGCGACATCATCTAATTCTTGCTAAAGGATGCTCTTAGCGGCATCAAAATTAGGTCTGTACACTGCCAAAAATTTCCACGACAGCCCTTCAGAGGTTCTAGGGAGAGAGATCGTGTCCAAGTGGGGAGTGACTAAAGAGCAAGTAAGGGCATGAGAGGAAGAGTCCCAGATGACCCATATTCCTCCTGAGGCTCCCTCGGCTTCTACAGTGACCAACTGGCAGGGCCTTAGGCTCCAAACTTGTCTAACTTGGTTAAGGGTGGGGGCGGGTAGCTTTGTTTTGATTAAGGCCAAAAGGGACGGGGAGTACTTGGAGCAAAAGGAGCGGATTGAGTTAGTTTTTTAGGGGGAGCCAAGGCCCCGAATGTTCCAAACCGGGAGTTTCATGATTTGGGAAGGGAGAGAGTCCTTCTAGTGGACCGTCTGGGGTGGCTCTAGGAGGAGAAGCCACGGGAGAAAATGGAACACTGAATGAAGCAGGAAGTCTGTGGTCATAGTTTTTGCCAAAAGCTAGGTTTGTGAGTTCTTTGGATCCTTTGGAACTTACTTTGAGTCTTGTTTGAGCATTGGAGCAAAAGAACGCCTTTACATCTTCCTTCCAGCCATTAAATTTGAACCCAACAATGTGGAGAACCTAATTAACATTGCCTTGTGCCCCGTCCATAGCTGAGACGAAGCTGGATCCCACAGGGGGGGAGGGGGGGGACGACAGGGATGAAGAAACTGTTTATTGAGAGTGGGATAATGCTAGATGGGTAGTCAAGGCCGGCCCAGGGAAGGTCGAGGAGGCCCTAGGTAGCGGGACTGGGGTTCCCGGGATGATTGAGGTTGTAGGTTAGGCGGGTGTGGGGGTAGCCAAGCTAAAGGACGGAGTAGTGAGAGAATTAGAGTGTGGGTGACTTGGGATAGGCGCCAATGGTGGTGGATTGAAGAAGTTGGGAACAGAAAGAGGTGGAGAGGTGAAGAAAGAGGCTATCTGGGTGGGTTGGGGAAAGGGCAAGCGGCGAAGGAGAAGAATGGGTGGGGGATAAAAGAGGTGAGAAAAGGCAAGGGGTAAAGGGGAGGAATGGGGTTAGGGGGAGAGAAGAAAGGGTGGTTGCGAGAGATTGGTAGAGGTAAAGGAGGGGTCATGGGCTAATGCCAAGGTAGGGGAGGAAAGGTAGGGCTGGGGAGAAGGTTATCAGAATGAAGAGGGAGGGGATTAAGAGAGAGTATCGGGGGTTACGAGGCTATATGATAGTGAGCAAAAGCGGCATGTCTTTGTCTGCTGCGGTGAGCCATAGGTGGGGAACGAGGTTGAAGATCTGTTGTCGGAACCATAGGGGGAGCGTCCAGGTGGAGAAGAAGGTCGTCGCTATTTTGGGTGAAGAAAGGGGAAGAACTAGAGGGGGGGGGGATCGAGTGAGAGATCGTTGACAACTTGGGAAGCGTGAAGAACCCATCTGAAGTTGGTGGTGGGACGGGGAAGTTAAGGAGGGGTGCCTCTGAGGAAGAGGGCAATGATGAGGCGACATGGGGTGGTGAAGGAGCAGCCTAGGTGCGGTGACGGGAGAGGAGACTGGAAAGGACGATGGGGAGGGTTGGGGGATAGGGGTAGGAAAAGGAGACAGCGTGATCGGTGGGCTGGAAGAAGGGATCCTGGATTCAGGAAGGAGAAGAAATGCTGGCTGTACATCGATGAGGGATAGGGGAGACATGGAATGATGAGGGGGTGGGGTGACTTGGGGAGATGATGGGGGAAGGATGCCAGAGGCAGGTAGGAGGGATGGGTTAGACGCCACGTGGAAGGGAAATGTGGCCGGTGGTGAAGCAAGGTCAAGGGGTTTAGTGGAAAGGAGGGGCGTGTGGCGAAAGGGAGATGAGGGAGGATGGTTGTAGGTAGGGTGAGGTGATGAAAGTGATAGGTGTATCGAGGGGGCAGCTAGGTGGTGACCATTCAGAGCCTGCTGCCTCTACTCGAATGGTGTCCTTGGGCCCCAGGTGAAGGTCCTTGGTGGGAGCAGGGGTCGTCAAATGGGTCAATGGACCAGGGAAGGGTGGATTACAGGGCTGGTGATACTGAGGAGCATGGCTACGATTGGTCCGGCCCTGGTCCTTGCGGCGTAGCATAGTCCATCCTTCAAGGTCCACAGCCGAGGCAGAAACTCTTGCTGATTGGGCTTGGCAAACTACAGTTGCGGAGGTGGAGGACCAGGACGTGGTGAGGCGGAAGAAAGTTTCGGCAAGACTGACCCAGAGCACAAGAGGAACTGACTGTGGATCCATGTCCTCCACTAGTAATAAGGTGGATCCTAGTGGAAGAAATTTGCAGGATTTCCAGTGAATGGCTACTAGGTGCCCACACTTTTCTCCAATGGATTTGAAGTAGGGGTGCCAGACATGTAGAGGGATGTTATCTACCATGAGCCACATTCTCCAAGGTTTGCAGGCATCTAAGAGAGGAGACCGTTCTGCCAACCAGATGGTCGCACCTTTGAAGAGAGGAGCCTGGGAGTGGAGAGCTGCCATGGCCAAGGTTGTTGACGGGAAAATGAAAAGGATACAGCCATCGTTGAGCCGATGGCAGGAGAGGTCTGTCTCCTTCTAGAAGCTTTGGCCCCATCTTTCGATCCCACGAATATCATCTCTTCTAGGATGGAAATGGCCAATGAGCGAGGAGCGAAGCTGAAGAGCCGATTTTGAGGGGTGGATCTCTCATAGAGGGATGAAGCAACACTACGGTTTACACTCGGAGGAGGATAGAAATGAGGGGAGACAAGGGGAGGGCACACGAGGGAGCTCCAGATGAAGAGGGGTCGAGAGATGGGAGGTTCACTGCAGGAACAGAGGAGGATGGGGGATTAGAGAAGGATGGGCTGGGAGGTGGAAAGGAGATGTTGCGGGAGGAGAAGGGCTTGAGGAGATGCGTGCAACTGTGATACAGAGGAGGGAGTGCAACTGGAAAAGGAGGGCAGTTGGAGGAGGAAGAAGGTGGAGGACAAACAGGCAGCTTTGGATGCATTTGGGTTCTTTATTTGGTTTTACTGATTGTTTACCTGCATTTTGAGTTTATCTTGTATAATTCATCGCATTTTCCTGTATAGTTATCCTTATTTTTCTATGAAATCTTCAAGTGTTTACCTGAAAAAAGTTTGGTTGTCATATTCCCTTGCTGTAAAGGATCTGAGTTATAATTGAGAAGGATCTAAGATGCGACTTTGAACAGTATATCATATATAAAATACCAATGCATTAATAAGTCCATGATGGGCAGCATACGATGAAGGACAGGGGGATGGTCTTTATATGTTTAGCCTCTTTTTATGTTTTCATGTTTCGAGCAAGACTAAATATTGGGAGTTAATGTGTTTGTTTCACATGCACACACTTGCTTTCACAAATGTATTGGAGTGATTTGAAGCAGAGATCATTGCACTTAATCCACCAAAATACCTTTTGTATGAAGGAATAGCATGCAGTTTAACTCCAAAATGTTTAAGAATTTTAGTTCATCTTTTTCTGCAGATATGGAGCTGTTAAAGATGTCAGTGATGATAACTACATGGATCTTAGTGTTCCAAATGGATGTACTGCAGTTCACTTAAACCTTGTGGTAAGGATGGGCCGTACCAATCATTAAAAAATCACTGATCGTGCTTGGATTCATCCAAGTCACTTGGACCCCAAAGGGTGCCGGGTGTGAATGAATAACCCTGAAATTGGGTGAATCTGACCCAAGTCCTAAAAGTTCATGTATTTTTCTATCGAGACTTGACAGAGTTAGGCTGTCCGACTCCGCCAGTCAGCCTTAGCCGTCCGATTCGGCCAAGTCAGCCTCTGACTTGGGATCGGAACCCAGGAGAGTCCGAGACCGAGTCCACATTGTAAAATACTTTTAGGTACTAATTTTGATCACTTATTCCCATTTTCGTCACATACCCAATTTATAATTTTATGAGGGGTCATTTGATGTCTCGAAATTTTTATATATCATGTGTGCATTTGCATTAGATCAAGTCATGTGAGTAGTGGATGCTCACTTTCCTTCCCCCAGTTTATATATGTCATTTTTGGTTTTTTCTTTTTTTCTTTTGTTATTTTGCTTGAAATATTTTCAATTTGAACATTTCATGTCACATTTATGCTTGAATATGCCCACCGTCATTTTATCGCTCGGTAAATATGTATCTATATGCTTGTACAGATTGTGTAATTTTTCAAGTCCTTTACTTAACTCATTGTTTAGTTTGTGACGGTTTGCAGCTTGATTTTGGTTTATACTTCTAGTGGCACCTGGTACAACACTAGCAATGTCTAGTAGTCATTTAAAAAGTGCTAATTTTTGTATGAAAATTAGAAAAGTGACATGCCGTATAATGATCTGCGGAACATATCATGCTGCTATAATTTTGCTCTACATTTTCAGGCAAGGCACGGGACACGTGCTCCTACCAAGAAACGTATCAAGGAATTGGATCAACTGTCTTATCGTTTAAAAGAACTTTTAAATGATGCAGAAAGGAAAGCATCTGATGGTGACAAGTCCCTTGAGAGCATCCCTACTTGGTTAAGGGGATGGCAGTCCCCATGGCAAGGGAGAAAAAAAGGTGGAGAACTAATATCCCTGGGAGAGAATGAACTCTATGATCTTGCCATAAGAGTTAGGGAAATGCTTCCAGAACTGTTCAATGAGGAGTATCACCCTGATGTTTTTCCAATCAAAACAACACAGGTGAGCGCACATGTCCTAACAATGATATCAGTGGAGTTTGTCTTTAAATTTCCTTAATTAATCTTTAAGTCATTCTTAATTTAATTGGATATTTGTTGAACTGTTTTTGTTAGTCAGCTGGAGAATGAATTAGCAGTTAGTTTAGAGCAATATATGTTTTTTGTTTGGCAAAAAGGTAAACACATAAATTGTTATAAAGCATAAATTTTATTCCATTCTCTCCAGTATGCACTTTTTTGAGCAATGCGATTGGAAGATGAGAGCCCTTCATAGTAAAATTTGTTTGAAGAAACCTGAACTTCTTTTTGATGGAAAATTATTAAGCAAAAATATTTCTTGATATTTGAGATAACAGTTGTCAAAAAATAATTTTGATTGACAATCGAATTCTTTGTAAAATAATTTTAATGTAGTTGATCAATCTATTGGATTAGAGGCATGATGAGATCCTATTTAAGGCGATGATTTCCCCCATGTGGATCTCTCCTAGATTTAATGGGTTGCAGGCAATTCTGACTCTGAAATACAACTAACCCACTTGTTGATTGAGTCTTGTTTGCTAATTTGCATTATTAGCGAATAAAAAATGCATAATGTATTTCTGCTAATAGCCCAAATATATAAAACAACGTGGAATAACATTTTTTGTAAATGATCAACAAGAAAATTACTCAATATGTATAGTATATATAAAGTGTGACTTCCCTTTGGAACCACTCGTCAAGTTAGTAACATCCTAGAGGTTTGTTCCAAGTTACAGGGGTTCGACATTAAGTTTGTACTTTTAAATTAAATAAGCATATATAACCTACTGCCTGAGCCCAAGACTTTAGCCGCCAAAATGTTGTTGCTTTCATCGTTTGAGGTCCTTTCAGTTGACATAAAATCATAGTCGTTCAGTATATGCCTCGCATTTTTTATGCTTCCGCAAGCATATGTTTGTTAAAAAGCCTTTCCAAATATTAAATATCCAACTTTGTTTTTAAAATAAAGTGGATCATAAAAATTTAAATAAAGAAAATACTGCAGGGATTTAAGAAAGAAACCATAAAATTAATAAGTTCCATGCAAAGCACAAGCACAAATTGAAGGAAACCTAGTATTCCTTCATAAAAACCCTAATTACTTTTCTAAACAAGTCCTAAAATCATAAAAATATATAAAAAAAAACTTACAATCCTTAAAAAAACTTTAAACCCTTAAATTTGAACCCTAAAAAATCCAAAAATACATCCCCAAAATTTAATAAGAAAAAGTAAAAAATCAGAGGCACCATGTCCTGCATCAATTTCCTCTCGTCGTCATTGAGTTTTGAAATAGGCTAAGATAAATTCAGCATCAAAACTATAGTTGTTGGAAACACTTGAGACTTTGAATCATTGATTCAAAAAGCAGTTTGCCAAGCGCCTAAGTGGGCTAGGGAGGCCTGGGTGGACCAACTAGGCAGGCTGTCCTTGGGCTCTCGCTCAGGGACCATAGTCACCCACATAGGTGCAAAATTACCCATCGGGTGGGGCATTTTTGGTGTTTTTTTGTTTGGGTTATAAAAAAGACATGAATATGCATTTTTTATAAAAATATGGACCAAAAATAAGATTACTGGACACCCTTGGCTCCTTTTGAACTTATGGTCTGAAAGTGGACGATGTGAACTAGCATAGTCTATGGAGTTTAAAATTTTCTCTTGCGATAACGGCTGGAACACTTACATATGTCCAAATATCACAATTAAAACTCAAATAAATGAAAAAAAATACAATAAATTGATTATCACTTGTTACCATTTTCAAAACTCTTCATTACATAATAAAGAATTAGACCAATTGATATTGGGGCCAGGAAAACATTAGAAAACACAAAAAAAAAACAATGTGCCAAAAGATTATCTCTAATGGACTTTGCACACCCCACACTAGGTCTTCTCCACCGATGGTGCACGGGATCTAGGTCTCTCTTGAATCTCACCAAATGGGAAGTAATGCCAAACTTTTTACTCAATTGAGAGCATGCTTATAGAACATGGGATTTCTCTTCTTCTCAAATCTATATGGGGCATGCCCCTTTCTATGCGTCAACGCTAGGAGCGTGCACCTTCTTTTATTTCTTGTGTGCTATGAGAGACAAAGAGAAGAGTTGAGGGAGAGTCAGGGTGGCGTGCCACCTTGAGGGAGAGAGAGAGCGCTCAAGTCTAGGTTGTGGTTTGAGGACCCCTCATTGACATGTTTATATAGAAGTGAGGCTAGGGTTAAGGTTTCTTAAGGTTTGGCCATCCTTATGAGATTTTGATCAAAGGTGACCTTGGGGTTAGAGATCTTAGCCATATAATCCATAAATCAGCCATCATTCTCTAATAGAAGGTGCTAGAACATTCTTTCAGCTTCCTTAACCTAATACCATCAAATATTATATGTAGAGATCAAGCCTCTCCTTTTATTTTCAATAAATCTCTACCTATTCCCTTTTTCAAAACAATTAGCCTCTTTTACAAAACCTTCTTATTTCATTTCAAATCATGTTGCATGACTTATTACACAAGCCACCATATTAGGAAGGTGAGAATAGTGGGGTGTCCCACTTATTGTTGCATAGTGGGCCTTTATGTATTATTGGTCTTTATAGTAATTAGATAATTTTAAAACATAAAATAATTTTTAGAAAATTATTAATAGTTTTATTTTCTCTCTGAATATTTAAATACTTGAAAATTCAGTTTAATCTTATTTAATGATCAATTTTGATGAAATAAAATATCTAGAGACTTTTAAAAATTATTTTAATATTCTAAAAATAATTTAAAACAATATTAATTATTTTTAAATTAATTTAATGGGAATCAGATCCAACTTTGTTAAGAAAAATGCAAACATATTGAGTACTGATAATTATGTCCCGCACTCATTTTCTCAAACTGACCCAATAGTTCCCATGACCCACACAATCCATCACAGGGGGTTTATGATTGGACTACCAAAGCCAGCGAATAGGTGATGAGAACACAATCCCAGTCTATGGATTACAAGTTCCCTCTAGGGACAAGCTTAGGTCACACATACCTGTGCACACATTTCAATTGGTGCATAGGGGATATCTCTAACACATGTACATGTAACACCCTTAATGGTGTTTACTTCTCAATATGGCTATCATATGTACATTCTGTGTGATGGTCATGATGAGGATTTGACCCTCGTCCTTCCAGGCCGACCAATCACACACATGGGTCACAAAGTCCATCAAGGGGTAACCGTGCAAACCCTTCTCGGTTGTGCTCTATATCTAGGTATCATAGGGTTTTAAAACTCAACTCTCTTGCCTAGTTTGAGTCATGCCATCAGTATTGCCCACTTCGGCTCCTCTTGACCATACTCCCATTGGAGTTCATTATTCCACTATTATGAAATTTTAATACATGCTCTCATAAGGCTTTTAAATGGCTACAAAAACCCAACATTGTCTGGGCGGCCTAGACACCCCCCCCCCCCCAAAATCCGTCTAAGAGCCATCTGGCATTTTTGGAATTGCTATGAATCGTTTTAGAAATTGAAATCGCGGAATGCGGCTGGCTAGAAGATTCTGGTTTATGGAGTCAATGTTTGTATAATGGGAATTGCGGAAAACAAGATTCTTACTTTACAGGAATCAAGATAACCCAAATTGACTCGAGATCCTGACTTATATGTAATTGAGATTCCAACCTCTTAGGAATTTAGTTTCTGACCTATTTGGAATCAACCCATATGGAATCGAGATTCCTTCATATATGGAATTGAGATTCCGATATCTTTGGATATGATGTATTTGGAATCGAGATTCATAATATTTTGGAATCGGTTTTTGACCCACTTGGCAATCAAGATTTGTAATTCTATGGAGTGGAGGTTCAACCCCTCTTGATTCCTACATCATCTCATGCCTCAACAACTTAGAACCTCATCAAGCAATTGAGATTAGAGGTCTCTAACACTCGAAAAATGGTCCTTAGATTTGAAATCAATGTATTGACTAGTGAGCCTTAGACACAGTATTAGAACTAAGGTTAATTAATAGATGCTCGTAGTCCACTTAGGACAAATGCCTACAAAAGATAATATTGTCTCATGTATTTTTAAAATGAGATTTTGACTTCATTATTATAGTTCAAAATGGGATTCTATATGTGCCATGGTGTTGTCTGTGTTGTAGTATATGCCTTTGATACGGGGGGTGAAGACATGGAGCATTCAATTTTTAATGTTGCGAGGCTCAAGTTCTCCTAATTTTAATGCTCCAACGCCCAAGTTTACCTGCAGACGACATTGGAGTGATACTTGTTAAGAATTTGACTTCAGACATTTGCATTTGAAAGTTGATTTATGGAACCATTGCTTCAACAATGCATCGGAGCACATGTAAAGTATGTGAGGCAATGCTCTCCATACTGATTTCCAAATAACTCAAATCGAAATCCATAAATGTACAAATGTGTGCACCTAGAACATTAGTATCCTGATTTTGTGATATTACATTTCCCAAAAAATCATATTGAGATTCTATGATGGTGGAAGTAAGATTCGATGTTTGATTAATTCATGGTTTCTTGCATCGACGAACTGTTGTACTTGATGTTCTAGGATCTAGATTCGAAAAAAATCTAACCGAGTATCATTGTATGTGGAATCCAAATTCAACAAATGTAGAATTGAGATTCAACAATTAAGGAATCGAGAATCAATAGATATTAGAAACGAGATTCTACAAGTGTTGGAATTGAGATTCCTAAAATAAGGAATTGAGATTGCTGACTTCATAGAAATGGATTTTGTGAATAATCCTTGTTGGAGTCATAGAATCAGGATTCCGAATCGGAATCGCGACCTTGGGAGAGATATTCTATTAACTATGATCAAAACCTCCTTCGACTTTTTTGTTCTTTGTTGGCTCAAATAATATTTGTGGTAAGACGAAATCCAAAAGAAACGGATCCTCATATGTATATTGAGGAAATGATACAAATTTATCAA